GATACTGAACTTTTCACAATCGATATACGAAAAGTGGTTTGACCATTTAGGATCAAACAGGTTTCAGACCAATCAAGTTAAGCGCAGTTTCGTAAGTGCCAATGCAACAAAAACAATAGATTCCGGAAACTGCAGTTAGTGTGGGGTGAACTCAAACACGAAGGAATCGAGTCACTCCGGCACAGAAACCTGAGTGCACTGAAACTCACTCGGCGGTTGAATCCTCGAGCTTTACCGAATAACCGGTCCCGTGTTCGAGTCTGCGTTTCTGTTTTGATCGCTGAATTTCACGAACGGATGAAGAATTAGGTTTATGATCTTTATCATTCTGGCCCCCGTTCACCTCATCGGCATCCGAGGTCAACGCGCCATGTGGTAACCATTGCAAGTACAATACATTGTCTTGAAACTGAAGGGGATGTGTAAAAATCAGGAAGATAATTAGTGATCAATGGCCTGGGTTGTACACCTGCTCGGACCATGACCATAACATATTTTGTAATTTTGAAATACGGTTTTCGTGATCGAAGTTAGTGCTATACAAAAATAAAAAGAACCCTGAAAAACACCAAGTTTGAGAAACTAGTGACGTTAACACAAGCAAGATTTCTCCTCTCTATGTACCCGTAAGCTAATTTGGCGGATTGATGGTGATTGGCCTTAAATGCAAATCCTTGGGTATGGAAAGATTGTCTGATATCCTAATAAGAGCTTGTATCATTTCATGAAAGAATCCAGGGTTAGTTACGGAAATATCATCAACACGCGCATGAAGTCGCTTAGGAAAATATAGAAACAAAATTCATTGAATCTAGAGGATTCATATCAAAAAATGGAGATGACATCCCAGTTCAATTCAGCTTTTACAACCATTAACCAAGCACCCAAGGGCTGCGGTTCAGGTTGCTGTCTTCAAGTTGCCCATTTAGATAAAAAAGCAGAAGAAACATTGGAATGTTGAGACCAGAGTCATAGACAAAATAGAGAATTATCAGACAGGTTGCAAGGATAATGAGAGGATGAAGGAGAACCACTGTTTGCGAAACTCAGTCATATCACTATCGCTAATCTCAGGTTACCATACTCCCGAGATACATATTCAGAGAGCCTAACGTAACCTAATAGGATCGAGTCCCCATGAATTATTATTAGTATTTTCAAATACATCAGACTGTGTGCAAAACAAATCACGGCACAATGATCTTTATAAAAAGAAAAATGTACCATGATTTGTTTATGGGCGGAATACTGCCACGTTGCCTAGGCCTAAGCAAATGAATTGACTTCACAACCGGAGCATTTGGATAACCAAAGCCCGACGCGCAAGGCAGTGAGGCGGTATGGAAAAACGGCAATCCATTCCGGACCAGTAGCCAGTTCATCGGACCACACGTTATTCGGACGGGAACAAACGTCCAAGGTGCCCTATTTAACTCACTACCCAATCGAAACAGTGACCACTGCCACAACCAAGAAGGGGTGGTTCGTAGACCTCTTCTTCATTGGTTTGGAATAGCTGCAGCTATTGGTAACAGTCGCAATTCTGCCGTCTAATTAGGAATACGGCCCCAAGGAAAGTAGCCATATGCGAGGTAATTAAGTAATCCAATGGGGAACTGATTCATATTCAGCAACGTCGTCTTGAGCGATGAGCAGAACATTTTAAGGCTTGTTCAACTGGCCCACACCCGACCACACTGAGGCTTTTCAAGGCAGTCTCTTGGTAAGTTGTAAGTTATTCTGGATTGTTGGAGTTCTAGTGTAGCCATGTTAAATATGCGTTTTGCAGTTTCAAAGTGTAAAACGTCACGACAAGGCTGGGTTGGTCCAGTTTCTAACCTCATGGAAACTGGGGGAATAAACGAACTTCGTTCTTTGGGCAGTTATATCTCACCTGGCGCATGCATATCAGACGAAGCGTGGGTAAGACACGTGTGGCGCCGTCGCGACATCCAGCTGTCTGTAAAGAGTTGATTGTATGCTGTAGCAGTTGGACCAGTTCTGCTATGCAATACAGAGATGCGGCCATTACGATAACGGAATAAAGATAGACTGCCGGTGTTTGAACAACGCTGTCTACACCGCATTACACGAGTCTGGTGGGGAAACCGAATAAACAATGTTGAGAGCAAATTTTTAGGTAAACGAGGAAGCACGCTGCAGAAAGAGATCAACCTTCACTGGTTAGGTTGGTTGGTATGTTACGCATGTCACTGTATAGATTTCTACGGCAAGCGACGTTTGCCGAGGCAAGTAGTGGATGGAAAGAAGTAAAGGGTGGTCAAAATAGGATGTGGCATAAGGGTACGAAAACCCTAACCGTGAGACATTTAACACCGGCTTGTAGACAAACATGGTGTCAACGCTACAGTTATAATAACAATAACAATAATAGGGAATAGGAGGATTGGTGTACAGAACAGAGTGGAAAGAGGATGAAACAATTAAACACGGATGAAAAAGTATCAGAGTACATAATCGTAAGAGCAAGGCGGTGAGACATGCTTGCATAGATCGCGTTAGGCGAGATATGTTATGTTTGTTGTGGTTCGTACGAATGGCACGAGCGACTCTTGCTTAACCCCCAACGACAACGCGGAGAGAGAACAC